GGCGATTACATTTGCATATACGGTGTACAAGCGCACCATAAAGCAAGTAGAGCTAGTAAGATTAACAGCATGCTAGTCTTTTATGCTGGAGAGCTGTTTGAATAAAATTAGCCAAATTGTTTGTCTTCCCAAGTACCCTTTCGGTCTTAGATTCTTTGATTTGACCTTTTTGGACCCGACAACGTTTCTTAGGTGTATGCTATTAAAATCATTTTTTAACACGTCTMTTTGATGTATTTTAGTTTCTATCTTGAAAATTCACTGTTTCTTGACTAATTTGGGAAGGAAAATTCTGCATCAGTACTGGTGATTGCGGACAGCTTTGTGGTTCATCTATGGACGTACTTGCTGGYATAATACTGGTACATTCCGACGTGTTAAAGCAAACATTACCGAGAGATTCGGAGATTTCTTTTTGCTTACTCTCAGACAATCGTCTTGAATAACTACGAATGCTACTTTCTAGTTTGTGCCCTGATACTCGCATTAAAGTATATGTCACGCATCAAAATTAAATTCATCGAGTATTGAAATGGCTGTTGCTCTTATACAATGATTTGCATWTAATTTTGACAATTTTAACTCTTTAGAAATTGAACTCATTAAAGTGCCTATGCACCCTAGCCAAATCCAACATATATTAAAAATAGATATACTAAATGATGTATCTGTTAAAAAAAGTGAAGATTTGACGAAATCCAATTTTTTATGAGCTCTCAATCGTAAGTGCTACAAAACCGAGCRATGCGGGGGATTGGAACTAGTGTTTTGATGACGTAGTCATTCGGAACAACTGAAGTGTCAACAAGTGTCAACAAACCAACATCAGAGAACTTTGAGTGCAATRGAGAAGAGTACAACTATGTCTTGCCGAGATTCAACTGTTTGCATGAACCATCATTCATAGTCTTCTCGATCAAACATGAAAATGCTTCCCGGACACCACGTCATCATTGTCGTCACCAAACCTCCCAAAGAAAGCTCAGCTTTTTCTCAGCTTTTTTAGCACAGGATTCCCAAACGAAGCTAATAATGCAATTTCAAACCGCTTAAAAATGCAGGACTTCTACTTATCAGAAATCGTTTTTCATTAGAACCACTAGAATCTGGAACCTACTTATCACTAGACTTGACCTAGATAATATTACTATCAAGCACTTAAAATCTGTTCTTCACGATTACTATTCACGGGCTATAGCACTAAACTATGACCCGGACGCTCCTAGAAGTTTCAAAACTATCTGTTTAAAGTGTAACACTGCCAGGTTTTTAGACCAAGAAATTAGTTGTTGCATGTAATTTTATTGTTATTTATATTATCGGGTCCGCAGTAATTGGCTCACGCTGTTGCGGTGTCCCTGCCCAATCTTAAGTTCCTAGTGTATAACTTAATATCGTCTTGTCCAATGTATGTATTATTTATATCAACGTAGTTATTTTTCAGTTTGTGTATTCTTCAGGGCAAAGCTAATAAAATAAAA